AACACTCAATCATGATAAAATTCTCCACAAATGCGAGGAAGTTTCCTAGAGATAGAACTTGCCTGAAAAGCAGCTTCCTTCATGTTTGACAGTGAAACAATGTGTTCTCCTTTGGATTGCAAGCAAGGCAACGTCTATTCTCATCACTTCTATACAACATTTACTACAAGTTCTAGCCAGGGCAAAAAGACAATTGGTAGGAAATAAGAAATAACGCAGACTGAAAAAGAAGTAGGCTGGGCGGGTGGCTCACACCTGTAATCCCAGCACTTTGGGAGGCCAAGGTGGGAGGATCGCCTGAGGTCAGGAGTTCAAAACTGGCCTGGCCAACATGGTGAAACCGTCTCCACCAAAAAATACAAAAATTAGTCGGGCGTGCTGGCGGACGTCTGTAATCCCAGCTATTCGGGAGGCTGAGATGGGAGAATCACTTGAACTGGGGAAGTGGAGGCTGCAATGAGCTGAGATCATGCCATTGCACTCCAGCCTGGGTGACAGAGACTCTGTCTCAAAAAACAAAAAGAAGGGTGGGCACAATGGCTCACACCTGTAATCCCAGCACTTTTGGAGGCCGACATGGGCAGATCACTTGAGGTCAGAAGTTCCAGACCAGCCTGGCCAACATGGTGAAACCCTATCTCTACTAAAAATACAAAATACAAAAAAAAAAAAAAAAAAAAAAATTAGCCGGGCGTGGTGGCAGGTTCCTGCAATCCCAGCTACAGGTATTGATCGACTTACGACCTATGCAACTTACGACCATTCGACTTTACGACCACAATCACTATCCCCGGCTCCTCCGCGTCTGGCAGCGCAAACGTTGCCCAGCTGGGCCTATGACACTGCGGACCAGCTTCCGGCAGCACTACCATCTCCGCGTGCATATAGCCTACTCAACTTACGATCAAATCGTGTTACGACCGGTCTGTCGGAACCAATCATGGTCGTAAGTCAAGCACTAGCTGTACTTGGGAGACTGAGGCAAGAGAATCACTTGAGCCCAGGAAGTGGAGGTTGTGGTGAGCTGAGATCATGCCACTGCACTCCACCCTGGGTGACAGAGGGAGATTCTTTCTCAAAAAACAAAAAAAAAAAAAAAAAAAAGAAAGAAAGAAAGAAAGAAAAAGAAGTAAAACGATTTGCAGATGACATGATTATATAAAAAATCCTGCTGAGGCAGAAAGGTCACTTGAGGGCAGGAGTTCAAGACTCCAGCGAGCTATAATCACACCTGTGAACACCCACTGCACTCCAGCTTACGCAAGAGAGTGAGACCTTATCTCTAAAAAGTAAAATAAAACATAAAAATCCTAAGTGATCTACAAAACAAAATAGCTACTACAGTTAAGAAGTGTATTTAGAAAAGTCAATATACAGAAAGCAGCAGTATTTCTAAACTATAATAGCGATGAACAATTGGAAAATAAAATTTAAAAATATTTACAATGGTATAAAAAATATGCAATACTTTAAGGATAAATTTAGCAAAATATGTGCAAAAAATGTACATTGAACACTACCAAACATTACTGAAAGCAAGATTTAAATAAATTAGAAGACAATTTTATTAAGAAGTTAAATTGATCAACAGATTCAAGCAATCCCTATCAAAATCCCAGCAGGCATTTTTTGGTAGAAATTGATACACTATTTCAATAATTTATGTAGAATTGTAAAAAGGACGCAGAATGGCCAAAATTTTGAAAGAGAATGAAGCTGGAGAACGTAAAACCCACCACAAAGCTACGGTAATCAAGATAGTGTGATATTGGTTAATTTTTTATTTAATTAATTTATTTTGAGATGGAGTTTCACTCTTGTTGCCCAAACTGGAGTGCAATGGTGTGATCGCAGCTCATTGCAACCTCCACTTCCTGGGTTCAAGCGATTCTCCTGCCTCAGCCTCCCAAGTAGCTGGGACTACAGGCATGCGCCACCACACTTGGCTAATTTTGTATTTTTAGTAGAGATGGGGTTTCCCCATGTTGGCCAGGCTGGTCTGAAACTCCTGACCTCAGGTGATCTGCCTGCCTCAGCCTCCCAAAGTGCTGGGAACAGGCAGGAGACACCACACCTGGCCTGGTATTGGTTTAAAGACAGACATATGGATCAATGGAATAAAATAGAGTGTCCAGAAATAGACCCTCAGAAATATCATCAACTGATTCTCTACAAAGGTGCAGTAATGGGTTGAATGGTGACCCCCAAAATTCATGTCCACCTAGAACTTCAGAATGGGACCCTACGTACAAATAGGATCTTGGCAGACGAGGCCATACTTGATGGAGTGAGCCCTAAATCCAGTCCTTATAAGAAGAGGGACACAGGGATCCATGTGGCAATGGACACAGAGTGGAGCCAGGCAGGAATAAGCAAAGGAGCCCTGCCTGCCAGAAGCCGCTGGAAGCTAGGGAGAGGCGAGGGAGGCTCTGGAGGCCTCAGAGGAAGCATGGCCATGCCAACACCTAGGTTGTTAGCATCTAGTTTCCAAAACTGAGAAAATCTATTGCTGTTGTTTGTGACCACCAGTTTGTTGTAATTTCTTATGGACACCTAGTAAATTAACAGGTGACAAGTTATTTTCAAATGAAAACCTTTTCAACAAGTGATGCTGAAGATATTGGATATTCACAGGGGTGGAAACAAAAGAAGCTTGGTCCTTTCTTTGCATTGTATAAAAAATTAACTTGAGGCAGGGCACGGTGGCTCACACCTGTAATCCCAGCACTTTGTGAGGCCGAGGCAGGCAGATCACCTGAGGTCAGGAGTTCAGGCCTGGCCAACATGGTGAAACCCCCAACTCCACTAAAATACAAAAATTTGCCAGGTTGGGTGGCAGGCAGCTGTAGACCCTGCTACTTGGGAGGCTGAGGCAGGAAAATTGCCTGCACCCAGGAGGCAGAGGTTGCAGTGAACCAAGACCGTGCCACTGCACTCCAGCCTGGTGACAGAGTGAGACCCTGTCTCAAGAAAAAAATTAGCCAGGCCCAGTGGGATGCACCTATGGTCGCAGTGACTTGGGAGGCTGAGGTGGGAGGACTGTTTGAGCCCAGGAGGCAGAGATCGCAGTGAGTAGAGATAGCACCACTGTACTCCTGCCTCGGTGACAGCAAGACCCTCTCTTACCAAAAAAAAAAAAAAAAATGTTCCACTGCAGACCTGAGATTTCATGTATTTTCCACAAACAGATCTTGAAGGTAAAAGATAAATGAAAAAGATTGTATTTATTTAATACAATTGTGTATTACTTGTTTTTTATTTATTTGAGACAGAGTCTCACTCAGTTCCCTAGGCTGGAGGGCTGGCACGATCTCGGCTTACTGCAACCTCCGCCTCCCAAGTTCAAGCGATTTTCCAGCCTCATCCTCCCAAGCAGCTGGAATTACAGGCGTCTGTCACCACATCTAATTTTTTTTAATCATTTAATTTTTTTATTTTTGTAAGGCGATTATGAAACTATTTTTTATATTTTTAGTAGAGATGGGGTTTCACCATGTTGGTCAGGCTGGTCTCAAACTCCTGACGTCAGGTGATCCAGCTGCCTCGGCCTCCCAAAGTGCTGGAATTACAGGCATGAGCCACCATGCCTGGCCTGTATTACTTGTTTAAAGCTTTCAATCCATAAAAATTAAACACACGCAAAAAAAGTTTTCCCCAATCTCCAATAGCACTGAGAAAACAAAACAGCAAAACTGGTCACTTTACTTAGTAACATGCCTTAGGGTTAGCACATAGCTTCTAGGGTAGAGTCAACATCTGTCATACAAATATATTTTTCCAGTAAAAGCATGGTCACAGTGTTCTGGGAAACGATTGGTCACACTCCACATTTTAAAGTCTGGAGCTCCCCTGACCCTTTTACTGGAATAATTGTTACCCCTTTCTCAAAAGAGACAAACAGGACATGAAAATTGGTTGTCTACTGTCCTCACGTTAATCACTCTAAGTTGGTATGTGCATTTTCCCCAGAAACTAAAATGAAATGTTACATACATATATATATTGTAACAAATGGAATATATAATGCTTAGTGTTTAACTGGTGCTATTGGAGAGTGAGAAGAAATAGGCCCTTTGAAACAGGCTCAAATAAGAGAACTATTGCTGTCTCTGGCCACGGCCCAGATGATAAAAGGGGCCAGACCACATCCCCTCCCTTTCAGCAACTATGGGCACAAACATTTCTATTTTCCACTTAAAAAAGGGGGGTGTAGCCAGGCGCTGTGGCTCACGCCTGTAATCCCAGCACTTTGGGACGCCAAAACGGGCGGATCACGAGATCGAGACCATCCTGGCCAACATGGTGAAACCCTGTCTCTACTAAAAATACAAAAAAATTAGCTGGGCATGGTGGCAGGCGCCTGTAATCCCAGCTACTCAGGAGGCTGAGGCAGGAGAATCGCTTGAATAAGGGAGGCAGAGGCTGCAGTGAACTGAGATCACACCATTGCACTTCAGCCTGGTGACAGAGACCCTCTCAAAAAAAAAAAAAAAAAGAGGGGTGTGTGTGTGTGTGTGTGTGTGTGTGTGTGTGTGTGTGTGTGAGTGTTCCAATACCACTGGAAAAAGCAGAACAAGAAGAGCACTCACCAGCAAAGGACTAAAATTTGTGTGGCTGTGTTGTGATGCTATTGTTTGGGTTAAAGAATAAAGCAGTAGAAAATGCTTTGACTGGTTTCTGTGCCTTGACATTTTTGTCTAATTGCTGAATGTTAAAGACCTGGCCCATGTTTCCGCAAGGCTGTAAAGAACATGAATTCAAGACTAATGGGTTCTGGCTAGTTCAGGATGAACCCGATGCAATCCATGAACGTAAATGATCAGTGTTTTCCAAACCGACAAATCCCTTTTTTTGTTTTCAGTTTTACTCCACCTGTTCTAGGCCAGCATTCGAGTTGTGTATCAAGCAGGTCACGTCGGGTTTGAAGAGGACTGAGAAAGTAGGGCAAGTCACTGCAGGCCACTGGACTGTGCTAAACATGTGCCTGTGATCTTTTCCAGAGAGACGTCTTCCACGATCTTGGCAGAGGGATTCTGGACGGTGCTTGGTAAGGCTATAATGCTACTCTCCTGGTCTATGGCCAGACTGGATCTGGGAAAAGCTATTCCATGATTGGATTTGGTGCAAACAAAGTATTATTCCAACTGTGTGCGAAGAGCTCTTTCAAGCAATTGAGAACCAGGGAAGAAATCAACAGCACAAGGTGTGTATTCTAGAAGCTTTCTTTAACCAAGAGCATGAGGTGTTTATTCCAGAAGCTTTCTTTAACCAACAGCACGAGGTGTGTATTCCAGAAGCCTTTCTTTAATCAAGAGTGCAAGGTATGTATTCTAGAACTCATTCTTCTTTTTTTTTTTTTTTTTTTTTTTTGAGTCAGAGTCTCGCTCTGTCACCCAAGCTGGAGTGCAGTGGAACCATCTCGGCTCACGGTTGCAACCTGCATCTCGCAGGTACAAGTGATTCTCCTGCCTCAGCCTCCTGAGTATCTGGGATTACAGGCATGCCCCACCAAGCCCAGTTAATTTTTGTATTTTCAGTAGAGGCCATCCAGGTTGGCCAGGATGGTCTGGAACTCCTAACCTTGTTATCCGCCTGCCTCGGCCTCCCGAAGTGCTGGGATTGCAGGCATGAGCCACTGCGCCCAGCCAGAATCCCTTCTTTAATCAAGAACATGAGGTGTGTATTCTAGAACCCCTTCTTTAAAGGGTTGTATTTTTCATTTTGGACCCTTTCCCCAGATGGAAATTCTCAGCATCTCTATTTTAGGGAAATGTTTGTTTTTCATACCGAAATGTTTATATGACTACAAAGTCATGTTGCAGCTTAATAAGATGTTGGATTTTTCTGGTTATATAGAGGCAAATCCAAGACAAGGCACTTCTGGTCTAACATTCTAGAAGCAGACATCTTAACTGCTAACACTAACAAGGGATTCTTATTGGATATTATGATGATTTGGTTTGTAAAATGACACCTTAGCCAGCTCAAGTCCGTGGCTCCCTTTGCCGCCCTCTTCAGCCACGGCTGTGGCTCCGTTCTAGTTCTAACAGACTTGTCTTTCTTTCTGAAGAATCTTAACTTTGTTTCTAAGTTGTTTTTTACACAGAGCATAGCCTCTTACTTGCCCTAGCATAGAAGACTCAAGACCAAATTTTAGATTCACTGAAGGTTGGTGACATTTTCAAGATGGAGTGTACCATTAACATAATTAGCTTTGAAACAAGACAGGGAAATAGCAACAAATGCCTGTAAGTGTAGTTTATGTTTCTGCTTTCTTAAAATGGTAGGACCATTGAAGGCAGTGTTATGAAAACGCAGTAGTGCATTATTTTCTATCTTATTCTTGTGATGTTAATGGTAATGTGTTCAAGTTAGAGAATTATATGTTTATAATATCATCACCTAACTACCATTAACATTTCAGTACCTTTTGAATGTTTATTCATTTATATTTATATATTTATATTTTACAGAGATGAGGTCTTGCTATGTTGCCCAGTGATCTCAAACTCCTGACGTCAAGCAGTCCCTCCTCCTCGGCCTCCTGAAGCTCTGTGATTACAGGCATGAGCCACTGGGCCCAGCCTCCAATTTTTAATTCAAATATTTTTTTTTTTTTTTTTTTTTTTTTTTTGTAACGGGGTTTTGCTCTTGTTTCCCAGGCTGGAGTGCAATGGCGCGATCTCGGCTCACCGCAACCTCCGCCTCCTGGGTTCAGGCAATTCTCCTGCCTCAGCCTCCTGAGTAGCCGGGATTACAGGCACGCACCACCATGCCCAGCTAATTTTTTGTATTTTTAGTAGAGACGGGGTTTCACCATGTTGACCAGGATGGTCTCGATCTCTTGACCTCATGATCCACCCGCCTCGGCCTCCCAAAGTGCTGGGATTACAGGCTTGAGCCACCGCGCCCGGCCAATTCAAATATTTTTTAAGGAATACAAGTACAGTTTAAAAACTCAGCCAAGAGAAATATGTCCACACAAACACTTGTACATGAATATTCCATAGCAGCATATTTACAACAGCCAAGAAGTACAGACAACTCAAATATCCATCTGCTGATGAGCATTTGAATAAAATGTGGTCTGTTCTTACAACAGATTATTCAGCCTTAAAAAGGAATGAAATTCTAACACATTACAACGTGAACAAACCTCGAACACGTTATTCTAAGTAAAAGAAGGCAGATAGGAAAGACCACACACTGTATGATTCCATTTGAATGAAATTTCCAGAATAAGCAAATCTATAGAGATAGAAAATAACCTGGCGGCTGCCTTGGGCTGGGTGTTGTGGGGGAGGATGGAGGAAGGGAAGTCACAGTGTTCTTTTGTTGGGGACAAACTTTCTGAATTTAGGTTGTTGATAGCTGAACACCTGGTATTTAGCTCTGTGAATATGCTAAAGACCATTGGATGGAACATTTTAAGTTGATGAATTATGTGGCATGTGAATTATATCTCAGTAAAGCTGTCAAAGAAACTTCAAATTATTCTGAAAGGCTTAAATGGAAACCACCGGTCCTCTGCCCAGCGTCTCCCCCTTTCCTGTATTCTCCAGTTACTTTCTTCAACCTTTTCACTGTTTGTCCTGGTAGCTGAATCCATATTTTAGAATAATGTTGGTTTTTCTCTTCTACAAAAGCAATTCTGGACAATTATCTACTGCCTTCCCGCCGTGGTAGAAGAGAATTTAACTCTGGCACACCAGCGCCCCCAACCACAACTTTTCCCCCACCTACCCCCTGCGTTTAGGACAATGCTTATTGTAACATTTGGTTAAATCAATAATTGTTAGCATTTTTTTTTTTCTTAACAGTTTCTGCCTCAGGATTTAATTATTAACATTTTAACTGCACGAGTATTGTTCACTGCTGCACCAAATAATGCATACGTCCTTTCTACATTTTGTTTTTCTTGGAATTATTTATTATTTTAGATGGAGCCTCGCTCTTTTGCCCAGGCTGGAATGCAGTGGCATGATCTTGGCTCACTGCAACCTCTGCCTCCTGAGTTCAAGTAATTATTCTTTAGTAGAGATGGGATTTCACCATGTTGGTCAGGCTGATCTTGAACCCCTGACCTTGCAGTCTACCCACCTCAGCCTCCCAAAGTGCTGGAATTACAGGTGTGAGCCACTGCACTGGCTTTGTTGGAATTTTTCATTGCCTTTATTTTTTCTTGAGATGGAGTTTCGCTCTTGTTGCCCAGGCTGGAGGGCAGTGGCGCCATCTCAGTGCACTGTAACCTCCACCTCCCAGGTGCAAGCAATTCTCCCACCTCAGCCTCCCAAGTAGCTGGGATTACAGGCATGCATCACCAGGCCCAGCTAATGTAGTATTTTTAGTATACACGGGGTTTTACCATGTTGGGGTCAGGCTGGTCTCGAACTCCTGACCTCGGATGATCCACCCACCTTGGCCTCCCAAAGTGCTGGGATTCCAGGCGTGAACCACCGCATCTGGCCAATTGCCATTTTAATTATGTTTACTTTTCTATAAATCTTTCTGAGTGCTCCAAATCACTGTTACACGCCTATTGGCAATATTTTCCATACACTCAAACGTCCTGGTTCCATGATTTTTTGGGTCTCCTCCAGCAGGACTCCTCAGCTCTCTCATTACAGTTGTCTTGATGGCATTAGCACAGTTTGGAGCCCTGTCTCTGCAGGGCTACCTCAACACTGTCACTCTGGAGCTGGACTTCAGCATTCATCCCTGTTGGCTCCCCTGACTCCTGGATCCAATGCATTCTTCTTTCTTGATGTACTCTCTTCTTGCTGCAATTTCCTCAGGAAAAGTGCATCCAGAGGACATCTTTTGCTTCCTTTGCACAACTGAAAATATCTTTTCCAACCTCCACACTTGATTGACATTTACCTGGAATAGAATGTCTAGGTCTCTGAGAATATTGAAGGCCTCCATTACCTTTTAAGCTGTAGTGTTGTCGCTGAGAAGTTGGCTACTGTTCTGACCCCCAGTTCTTTGCATGTGACCTTTTTTGATGGTCAGTTCCTCTCTTGCAGTCTTCAGGGTCTTCTCATTATCCCTGACGTTCTGATATCTGAATGAGTCTTTTTTCATTTATCATGCTGGACCTTCTTCAATCTGGAGATTCCTGTGCTTCCATTCTGGAAAACGTCTCTTACATTATTTCTTTTATTATTTTATCTCCTGTGTTTCTTGTTTTTTCTTTCTGAAATTTGTACGAATTGGATTTTGGGCCTCTTGGACTAATGCTCTAATTTTATTATCCTTTACAACCTTTTCTTTTCTTTTTTAAAGAGATGGAGTCTCCCTCTGTTGCCCAGGCTTGTCTCAAAATCCTGGGCTCAAGGGATCCTCCGGGTGTCAGCCTCTCAAGTAGCTGGAATTCCAAGTGTGAGCCACCATTGATCTTTTTTATTCTGCATTCCAATAGAGTCCCTCAATGATATTATAGCTCTCCCACATTTTTATTTTAGCTGTCATTCATAAATGTAATTCACACACTTCCTTTTATTCTCTGGTTGCTCCTTTAAATAAAATCCTCTTTTTTTCCATGGGTATAATTCTTTCTCTTTAAGGCTATTACTTCCAGGGCTTTAAAAAATGTTTCTAGACTGGGAATGGTGGCTCATGCCGGTAATCCCAGCACTTAGAGAGGGCGAGGCGGCAGACCACTGGAGGCAAGGAGTTTAAGACCAGCCTGGGCAAGATGCAAAACCCTGTCTCTACTGAAAATACAAAAGTTGGCTGGGTGTGTGGTGTGCGCCTGTAGTCCCAGCCACTCAGGAGGCTGAGGCAGGAGAATCGCTTGAGCCCAGGGGTTGAGGCTACAGTAGTTGAGATCATACGACTGCACTCCAGCCTGGGTGACAGAGTAGGACCTTGTCAAAAAAAAAAAAAAAAAAAAAGAAAGAAAGGAAAGAAAAGAAAAAAGAAAACATTTCATTTTTTTCTCCCTCTGTCTGTTTTCTGAGTTCCTTCTATTTGTTTTGATCCCTCTCTCATACTGGAGGCTTTCCTCGTCTGTTAGCCTTCGGTCTGTTGTTCATTTTTAAACATGAGACACCCTTACACAGATATATTGCATAATGGAAAATAAACATAAAAAACAGGAGACACACAGAAGCTAATGGGAAGCTCTGAGGCTGCAAGGCCGGACTGGCAAGGCTTACAGCAGGGTGACTAACACACACGCCAGCTTGTTCGTGGGGGAGGTGGGAAGATGGCAGGACTGAAGGCCTTCCCTCTAGACTAGAGCCATCTGGAGTCCCCCAGTCCTGCTGAGGAGGCGTCAGCTTGGCCAGCAGGAGAGGGCATGGACGCGTCTCCCTACATATGTTCAGGCTGGGGTGTGAACATGAAAGAACCACCTTTTTTTTCTGTCCCCAGTCAAAACTGAAACACATATACTACTGTCTTGTATTATTATTTTTTTTTTTATTGAAATGGAGGCTCGCTCTGTTGCCCAGGCTAGAGTGCAGTGGTGCGATCTCGGCTCATTGCAACCTCCGCCTCCCAGGTTCAAGTGACTCTCCTGCCTCAGCCTCCCGAGTAGCTGGGACTACAGGTATGTGCCACCACACCCGGCTAATTTTTGTATTTTTAGTGGAGGTGGGGTTTCACCATGTCAACCAGGCTGGTCTCGAACTCCTGACCTCGGGTGATCCACCTGCCTTGGCCTCCCACGGCACCCGGCCTGTATCTTTTAATTAGAGTAAAAACTTCCCGCGTGTGATGATTTGAGACCCTTACACTGCACACTGAAACAGAGCCTGACTTCATTTAACATTTGTTCTCCCCTTTGTTCAACTTTTATGTTATTTCCCTATCACTTCTCTTCCCAGAAACAACTGTTTCAAGAGGATGTTGACTTTGTGTGCTCTCCTCCACACAGGTTACGTTCAGCATGCTGGAAATTTACAATGAACAGGTAGGAGAGATGTTTCATGACATGCAAACCTGGGTAACTCTGCCACTCAGTAACCCTCTGGGGCTCGCAGGCACCTGTCCTGCCAGTAAAGCCTGGCCTGGCCGGGACGGCCCAGCCCACCTGCCTCTCCAGCTTCATCTGCGTCCCTTCCTCGTCACACACGGAACTGTCCTCCTTCCCGCATCTATCCTTTCTCTGCTGTTAAAGAAACCGCTCAAGTTGAAGCTGCAGCTCCAGGTCAGCAGCTCGCTCTGTCTGAGGCAGGTGGCTTCAGCTGGCATGACGCTGCACGGGGACTGGCAAATGTTACCTGCTGAGGGCGGGTAGTAAGTAGTGGAGGCCTTGGGCCCACGCTGTCTATGCTACAGGCCTCGACTCTGCTGTTGCAGTTCAACAGAAGCTGCAGATGACACATGAGAAGGCGCAACTGAGTGTGTACCAACGAAATGTTACTTATAATTTGAATTTTACATCATTTTCGTATGTCATAAAATATTACTTTTGTTTCAGCCATTTAAGAATGTGAAAAACAGCCAGGCGTGGTGGCTCACGCCTGTAATCCCAGCACTTTGGGAGGCCGAGGCAGATGGATCACAAGGTCAGGAGTTTGAGACCATCCTGACCAATATGGTGAAACCTTTCTCTACTAAAAATACAAAAATTAGCCAGACTTGGTGGCACACGCCTGTAATCCCAGCTAATCTGAAGGCTGAGGCAGGAGGATCAACCTGTGAGGCGGAGGTTGCAGTGAGCCAAGATCATGCCACTACACTCCAGCCTGGGCCACAGAGCGAGACTCCATCTCAAAAAAAAAAAAAAAAAAAAGACACTCATTGCTCAAGGGTCACTCAAAAGCAGGCAGTGGGCTGAGCCTGGCTCCCAAGCTGTGGCTCACCCGCTCCTGGAGAGTTGGAAGAGGGGGTTTCACAGCCAGCTCTCCCGTTTACTAGCTGTGTGACATTGCAGCCAGCTCT